TGTGTGCGTGCGTGCGTGCGTGCGTGCGTGCGTGTGTGTGTGCGTGTGCGTGTGTGTGTGTGTGTGTTCTGGTTCCCAGTCTCTTGGATGTGGTAGATTATTAGCCTTACTGCCCCTGTCTCCCTTCCTTCTCTCGTTCTCTTCCCTCCGTGTCCTGTTGATTAGGTTTATTATTTTATTTACATAAAATACATAAAATGAAAATGAATTCATTTTGTGTTTATTTATCACTTTTAGTTTAGTTATTAGTGGGAAAGATTCCTACATGTTGTTCTGATAGTAAAAACCTCTGAGACAAATCAGTCATTTACTTCTCACAATTAAGTAATTAAGCCTTGTTTTTGGAAATGCCATTAATTTTAATACAAAGAAGAGAAGACATACACTCACTGGACACTTTATTAGGTACACTTTGCTACTACTGGGTTTGTAACCTCACTGTAAAGAACCCTGTTTATGATGATCTGAGCTTTGTAGTTCTTTGACTTACTGCTTCCTTCCTATCAGCTCAAAGCAGTCTGGCCATTGTCTTATGACCTCTGGCATCAACAAGGCATTTTCACCCAGAGAAACAGAGATAGAGATGGTTGTGTGGGACAAATCACAGTAGATCAGCAGTTTCTGAAATACTTAGAGCAGCCTCTCAGCAAGCACACAGTCATTTAAATCACCTTTCTCCCCCATTCTGATGCTCACCACATCTATGTAAATGCCTACCATACCGCCATGTGATTGGCTGATTATATATTTCAGTTAAAGTTAAAGGTTGCTTCCTTTTTGCTCTGTTATGCGAATAGGCAGACAAGAACAGTGTATTTCAACCAGTCTGTTAGTTGATAACCACATTAGTGTGAAGTTTAATGACACACAGCTGAAGTGATGCTTTTGAGAAATGTGCATTTTTTCCCACACAGCTAATCATAATTGAGGCGCGTCATCCTGCTGTGTTGACACATTATTGTTTGCTGATGTAAACAAAACAAGGCAAGCAAACCCAAACACCATACAACACTCCAACTAAATTGCAATCTATGGTTTGTCTCTGTGTGAGGTCAGGTTAAAACAATCTGTCTACACTTTTGTTACCATTCGAAATGAACATTATGCCTTTAAAATCAGATTTTTTAAAAATATTTTCATAAACTGGCATGGTTTATGGCTCCTGCCTTGCCCATGAGCACTGCTGCAGCCTGAGTCACCCTGGGAATGCCAGTTGCACGCCACCTCTGCTTGTTTTGCGCTGTCAAGAATAGCACGCACTTCGGTAGAGAGCAGCAGCGAAATGACATGACTCACAAAAGTCACCGACACTCAGTTAATTATGCGAGATTCATGATCTTTTGAGTGCACAGCCAGCGACTGAACAACACGCCAATTTGCATATTTTTCTGGAAATTTTCAACATTTCACAGAAGCAGAACTAATGTGACAGGACTCTAACTGAAGGCTGCACTTGAGTGTGCACGATCAGCTGTTAAAAACTGAGACACAGCGCTGCCTGGAGATCGATTAGATTAGTCAAACACTTCGCTACCTGCTCCGTTGCTCAGAAACATTACAACAAACTTTAAGTCAGTTTGAATTTAAAAAAAAATTAAAGGGCTGGTGTCAGTTTTCAAACGATTTTTAGGGGAAAAAAGTTGCAAGTTTGGTAAAAAGCACATTAATTGGTGGTAACGTCTAAAGATATGACAGTGGCTTTAAAGGTTTCCATGATTGTATAACAGAGTAATGAGAGCCTTTGAAGTGCCACTTTTCCCAGCTCATATCACGTAGTGTGTCCTCGTTGCAGTAACTGCTGGGATCTGCTGTGTTCGATTTGAACTTCATAAAAAAAAAGTTTGTTTAGCAACAGCAACCTAGTGATCTCAACTGGAAAGCTGCAGGCAGTAATTTGCTCCTAATTAGACACGTTTCCTTTAGTGCCTAAAGGGTGAATGTTGAACTGCACAAGTACAATGTGTGTATAAGTGTTTGTGCTCCTGTGCATTTCTGTGTGAGATAAACATCGAGAGTTGTTGAGCCGTGAACTCCTGCCGCTCTGTAACTTGCCTCTTCACCCGCTTCCCGCTAAGTCTTCATTAAACTGCCTGATTCAGTTACCAGTAACTGGAGCTTAATTAGGAGAATTTGATTTTCGCTGCTGGGTCTCGTGGAGAATGTTGATAATCACTTCTTATGGACAGAAAATGAGTGAGATGCTCTGCGGTGGGCTGCAAAAGTTTCAGCTTGCAAAAAAAAAAAAAAAAAGTTCCAGGTTGGAGACTGTGCCTCCAGTCTGCTTTGATTCATGCTGTTTTTGAAAGCTTTACTAGTTCTTCACATAAGTTCACAGGATGACCACCAAGAAGAAAGAGGACTTTCAAGGATTCAAGATAAGATTCAAATTAAGATGGACAGCATCTGTTGTAATTGCTCTGTATATATGTCTCTGTGTGTTTGTGCTGTATGTGTGGGTCTGAAACATCTAAACATTAGAGGTGAGCAGGTCAATCTAAATATCCATAGTGTCGATACCAACATTGATATTGGTATCAGGCCGATACTAGTGTGATGGGATTGATACTTTGTGTCTATCCCCTAAGTTCAGCACTAGCAGCACTGAACTGTGTTAAACAACTTTTTGCAAATGAAAAACTATTGCTCAAACATGCACTATGAAAAAATTCTGAACCTTTTTGTGTTGACTATCATGTTTATTTTGATTTCTAGCCTATAGCACATCTAAACAACCAATCTGACCCACAGTGTTTTAGCGGAAGGCACATTTACCTACCAGGTCTCCAACAAACACAGTTTCAAACTGCATGAAAAACTGAACGGTGTGTTTTGTTGTGTTAACTCATTATTGTGGAAAGTAAAAAATCGCAGTGATTTAGTGGTCATTAAAATGTGCAAATTGATGATGATTCAGCTCATAAATCATCGCACTGTGCTCTGCACTGCATAAGCTTTATAGGTTAAAAGTATCGGCATTAATATCAGCAGTACTGGCCCTGTATTCACTTGGCATTGAATATATACCAAAATTTGCAGTATTGCGCAGTATTACTAAAAATACTTTCAGGACTCCATCCATCCATTTTCCTCTGCTTAGCCAATTCAGGGTCCAAGCTGCCATAGGCTGAGAGCTTTCCGGGGTACAACCTGGAAAGGTCGCCAATCTGATGTTGGGCTAACACCGACAGACAATCATTCACACTCACATTCACATCTATGGGTAGTTTAGAACCACCAGTTAATCCTACCCCACTAACTGTATGTCTTTGGACCTTGGACAGCAGCGCTAACCACGCTGTCCTGCTTCTGCACTCATTTTTTATTATAATAAATTTCACGAATTGCTGCTGGTAGATATATCATGCATTTCAGTGTACATTCAATCCAATAGTGATAATAAGAAAATGTGATGTTTGCGATATTTCAGTTGGTGACGAGTTTCTCTGCGTCTCTCCGTGTGTTCTGTCAAAACATTTCAGAACAAAAGAAAAAAAACGGTGCCATTTTCATCCAAACCCGTTGCAATTTTTCAGTCTCGATGTTTTCTGACTGAGAGTGACGTCTTTATTGCTGCTATCAACAAAACTCTTGCTGGTTCTCTGTTTTTTTCACCTGATCTGCAGAAACGCCTCACGAGCACCACGATTGGTGAATCTGAAATGTCCCACGCTAAGATGAAGGTGCTCACACAGAGGTCTGGAGCCAAACGTTGGCCCTGATGTTACCTATTGTTATCTGTCTTACTTAAATCTCGGCTTTGCTGCTTGATTTGCACCGAGCCCAGTATCACATTCATGCCACTTGTGGTCAATAAAGCCATACTGAATCTGAGCAGGGTCATGCAATCCCAGATCCTGTCTGCACGACTTTCTTGTGTAGATGCGGGACATTGAAGTGTGTGTGTGTGTGTGTGTGTGTGTGTGTGAGAAAAGTGAATAAGACTTTAGGTCACAGACTAAGCAGTTTATGAGAATTCTTCCTCCTCACTTGTTGCAGTGAATAAAGCCTGATCCCACACTGACAGTGGAGATTATGGGGAGTTTCTGTGTGTGTGAGCGGACACTTCCTGCTGCTCAGCCCTAAATTCTCGGCTTAGCTCCATGGAAAATCCTCTTTACTGTATTTTTCTACCTGTCTTTCTCACTCTTAAGTGTCTCAGCATCAAGCTGGAGAATGTGGTCGAAGAACTGGGTGCTTAATTAGCTGACTAAGAGTTTGATATGCACTTCATATTTATTATTACTATAAAACAAAGCCTTTTATTCTTTGGTTCCAACCTAAATGCCCTTTTAGTTAATTTCTGCATTTATGTGATAACATCCTATAAGATGTACAGTTAATAAATCATCATTAGTGAACTTTATCATTCCTCTTTGATTCATTTTTGCTCCTCTGTGTTGAAGTGAAAGAAACAGCAGCCATATCACGGCAGCTGACGACACAAGAGGGATCGCGAGTCTGAGCTGCTCCTTCAGGTTGCCTTAGAAACCAAACCAGGGCTATTTGTTCCAATTTGCTCTGTGGCACTGAGATCAAAAAGCTTGGAACCAAATGTGCTCTCTGTATATTAGCATCTGTGTTTGGTTCGACACAGTTTAGGCGTCTGTGTGCCGCATTTACATCTGTGTGTTCGTTTACAGTTGAGCCACATATTGGTTGTGTTGTTTGTGCGAGTCGAGTCAGGTTTAGGGGTTAATGTGCTTGAACTATACTGAACTTGGTGGTTTGTTATTGTCCAGTTAGGCCATCAGTTGTTACAAAGGCCTCTCGCAGGTCCCTCTTTCCCTTCAGCCCCCCGCCCCCCAAACCCCATTAAGGTTGGGGTTTAAAAAGCCGTTCCCGCTCCGCCTTCTCTCCTTCATTGAAAAGTTGGCGGTTTGTTTACGAGACCGCCAGCACTTCTTTGTGGTTCTGCGCTCTGCTTATGAGATGGAGGCGAGTAGCTAGTGAAACACTCACCCCTCCCCCTTCCTTCTCTGTCTCCTTTCCCCTTCTAACAGAATCAATTTGAAAAGGACAGACGGCCCTCACAGCCCCCTGTGCCTACACCCCAGTGATGCTTAGCTGGTGAGTACACTTTAATCTTTTTCATTTGGAGCCTCCGTGTCATTTTCATGCACTACTTTGACTGGTTTCTATATCCTTCTCTGAATTGCTGCTATGCAGTGGTGCAGCAAGTTAGTTGACTCTTTTTACTTTTATCCTCAATTTTTTTCCTGGGAAACAACAACATTTCTCTCTGGTCTTGTGGATGAAGGATAGCAATTACTCTTTTCCTCTCATTCTAACTTTATTTAAATGTCTTCCACTCCCCCCAAGACCAAAAAGAAGTCTCACTGGCCTTTGTGGTAAAAGTAAGGCAGTCTTTTTTGGTGAAAGTCCTTTATTCTGACTGACTGAAGTGATTTGAAAGGCAGTGGGGAGAGTTTTGCAGTAGAGGCGGAAGAGAGGAGGATAAGCAGAAGTGGTGGGGGCAGGTAGGGGTGGAGGGGTTTCATGCAGGCTGCTAACGGTCAAGGTTTACCTTTCCACCTCTCTTTGTCCCTCTATTTCTATCCATCTCGTTCAATCAATCAAACTATGATGCACAAGCCACGCATCAGTTATCTACAACTCGAATTGTTGTACTTAAAAATGAGTTAAAAACAGCACAATGCCAACAAAAAATAAAGACAAGGATAAAATAAGTGAGTGTCAAATTGATGCTGGATAGTCAAAAGTACTTTTTTCCATGTGAAAGCGAAGCACTCCGGTCGTCGACAGCCTTGTGCCTAATTGACACAGCACAGTGAAATTATTATACAGGTGACATGAGTGCATAATCATCTTTTGAAATCACCTTCACCAGAGCAGGCTGGGGCCATTCTCAGAGCTTTTACATGCCTTTTTTAATTCAGCTGTAGCAAGAGCAAGAAAGTTGGGTCATTATTCCGTCCATCAACACCTGACGCTTGAAAGTTTATCTTATGTAACGTTTTAAGATATTTCTACGGTGGGCCGGAGAGTTGCAACGTAACCAGCAAATAGACAAACCCTGCAAAAGCACACAAAAGGCAACGGAAGTAGGAAAAAACTCAGAAAATACAACGGAAGTGTTATAGTGGTTTTTTTGGGTGGGGGTTGTTTTTGCATATAGAAACTGAAACACACGAATAAATGCACTGAGAGAAAACGAAGTGGAGATTCATCAGTGTTGTGAGGGAGAGAAATATGCAGTCAGAGTGTATTTTAATCACATGAGTCATGTAATACTAAACTTATATATTTGCTATTAGCTGCTCACTGTTAGCTTGTCACTTCTGGAGCTGTTCCTTCATGTTCTCGTCTCCCCCCAAAACACTTCCCTTGTGTTTTGTGTGAAGTGGTTTCTCTTTTTAAAAATGTTTCCTGGTGTTTTCTTAACTTGCTGTGCATTTAAACTGTCAGGGCCAGATTTAATCATCCGGCCAAACCGTGTCAGTAAGGCCCGTCACCATATTAGGTTTAGACATTAAACCCTATGACTGGATGAACTGTGGCGAAAATTAAGTAAAATGTTGGTTTTCTACTAGAAAAAATTAATTATACTGTTAAAAAAAAAAGAGTGAAGGGAAGTGTAGTGCAGCTTTTTGTGCAGTTATAGAAAGTAGTCTGTCCATAATTGCACAAAAATGTACACAAAGTACAACAGTTTTTTTCTAAATGTGTTATTAACGTGGCATTTTTAAATCTCATAGCTATGTTGGTGAGTACAGTTGGAATGTGATTGTCCCCTGAGGGAAGGTATCCAGATTACAAAAAAACTGAATAGTAGGCATGTTTGAAGCTAAGTTTTTAATATATGCAAGCTCTCCTGGAGTTTGGATGATCTGATATCGTCGTGTTGGTGTTGTTCCCAGATCATCATGAAAATGTTGTTCCAGGTTCAACATCGCAAGTGACCAATCACATTGTTGTGACGTTATTCTTTTGTGCGCCAAGCCATTTGGGCATTTATGAAATTCCAATGTTGCAAGGACAATATCAGTTCTGCTTACCGTTTATTAAAGCGTTAGGGTCAGGGTCCGTTGATCGGCGGACAGAGGCGGTTTCTCGCAGCTTAAGTACAGTTTTTGGTTTTACGGCGGTTTTTCCCAATGTCGCAAAAGTATGATGTCACAACATTCTGATTGGTCACTTGCAATGTTGATCCTCGAACAACATTTAGTATGATGATCTGGGAACAACACCAACACGACGATATCAGATCGTGCCTTGAGCATGTGCTAATGAACAGAGGTGGTGAGAAAACTGTTGGCCTACATGTTTTAAACACAATGGCATGCAGAGTGAGCTCAAACTTTCATTTAACTTGTCTCAAATACCTTCACACACACACACAAACACACATATTCACTGAAGCTGAACATGAGCCAGAGTGACATAAAAAAGTTTTTAGAAGGTCTTTTAGTCATTTATCAAATCTGTGAAAATGTGGAGGAGAGCAAAGTGAAGGAAACAACATCTAATAAAAATCTATCCCTATTTGTGAGATTGTTTTTTTTTTGTTGCCTGGATATCATATTCTTTGCTGTCCCAGTGCTCATTCAGCTATGTAAACTAGATCCTATTGTTACGTAAACAGTTCAAGAAAACGCCTTGGATAACAGAAAGTCAAACTGAGGAGCTGAAAGTCAAACGTTTGGCATCCCCTCGGAGAAAATGACCTTGTTTACTGAGCGACTGAGCAAAAATGTTGTACTCCTAAAATCAGAATTTATGCATCATTGATTTTTTTATTTTATTCTCATAAAATATATAATAGGGTTATTTGTAATGTAGCAACTTTATTGTCTTAACCTTGACTCAACTGGACCTATATATATATATATATATTAAAGCACTTTTCATTGCATTGCAAATCTAACCTTGCGTATTTGTTCACACTGCACAAAGTATTTAAATAGCTCTAACTTAATCAGAATTAGTGAAATATGAAGGCTGTTTGGATACTTTTTATTAAAACGTAAGCAAGTGATTCCACTCAATTTTTGCTTTCTGTGGCTTTATTCAGTCTCAAGTGTATCTATCATCTTGGTTTTGATTTCAAGCCCTTTTTATCTTCTGCCCAATTTCTCCTAAAATTAGTAGAGACTGCTCTTGCTCCAATCTCAACCACTTCTTTCTCTGTATTTAATATCCCTGAAGGCCATCCCTGGAATTTGCTTATTTTCTATTGCTCCACTCCCCTTGCTCAGCACATGCATTCAGCTCACTTTCTCTATTCAATTCAATTTGTGGCCTAAATATCTCCCCCTAATATGTGTCAATGGAGTAGAGTAGCAGTGCTCCCTCTCTGGCTGCTTTGAAGAAGCTCCACTGCGTTTGTCTTGGTTCTCTCTGCCCCTCTGGGAGGAGATCAGGGGCTCCAATCGTGGTTGGCATGATGTCTCCTCCAGCCCCGCTGTTGTTTGCTGATATTTAGTTCAGGATAACAATAAGCCGGAAGAAAACAAGCTCCTTTCAGGCCAATAAGAGATGGAAGGGCTGGACTGAGAGGGAGAGAGAGGCCTAGAAAAAAAATGGGGGTGGGAAGACATGGGTCTCATCCCTGGACGGGGATGCTCTTTAAAGTATTCTGTTTGTGGCCCCCAGGGCCGAATTAAGGGAGCGTCATTATCCCTGGCAAATTACCACGCTGCCTTTGTGGTCCAGCCATGGTACATTAGGGTGCCTTAAAACGTGGCTGAGCTGTGCCTATTCAGTTTGCGAAAGTGGGGCCACTGGCAGATCCTTGGCCTGACTCACAGAGGAGGCATTCACGCCCTATCGGGGGGATGGTGACAGCAATGATGGTGATGGAGAGGTTCTCTTGAGATGAGTAAAGAATCTCTCGGGCCAAGGCTGATGTGTGATCTTCAATCACGTGCCAGCTGATGATGTAATCATTTGGCTTCATCGAGGGTTTGAGCCGCTGAGCAAATCCGGGCCCTGACTGAGACATTCCTGAAGATTTCCACGCCAGTAGCAGGAATTAAATTAGATCCAGTCTTTTAGTGGAATAATAATAATTATAATGATAATACGTTTTTTTGCTGTTAGATTAAGATAAACTTTCATATTCCTGCTTTATTATTATTATTTCTTTATAATAAAATATTTTTTTGTCAGGATTTGATTAAATATTAATCAGCCTTTGACCTTTTTTCCGCCAAATTTCAGTAGTTAGCTTAAAAATATAAGAGTTGTGGTTTTGCTTTAAGGTGTACAGTTATCAACAAGTACAAAGAAGAAGAAATGGCTGTGGATGTTTTACTTGGTCAGTGCTTTCATGTTTCAAGAGGCAGTTAAGATAACTGAAAAATTCCAGTGTCTTGTATCCAACGCTGAAAGTGAGCAGGAGGGGCTGATTTCAGAAGAAATGTCAGATCCTTTGAGCCTGTGCGAAGGATTTCAGTAGTTGCAGAGTGTCTGCAACAAATAAATGTCTCTGAGTTCTGTATGGCATCCACTACAAGCTGTGAAGGAAGCTGTTTTTTTCTACATACACTTTTTGCAGATTTTTTAGTCTTTACTGCAACAGGACAGTGAAGAGAAGACAGGAAAGCTGGGAGTCACGGAGTAGATAGCCACAGATTTGGTGGATTTAAACCCGGGCTTCTGCATTAGCCTTACTGCATATTGGGTCACCTGCTCAGCCCAGTGAGCTAAATCGGCACCCCGGCAAGCTTTGTTTTAAACATTTGCAGGTAGCTCACACTCAGCGAACGTTGATCCTCTGGGTCTGAAACAGTTAAATTAAGTTTTCATCCGATGCCAAGTAAAGCCAGGGTGCTCCATGAGCTATTATGTCAAACTCTTCAAAGAAAACTAAATAAGAGCGCTGCTGAAGGCGCTGCAAAAGTTCTAGTGTGTGAAATATTTGTTCTTGGCACTTTGCCTTTATTTATCATCCAATCAACTGGAAGCTTTACCTCAGCGATTGATGTCTCCCTCATTTTATTTTTCTTACCATGATAGGTGGGAGATTTCATTACTTTCCAACATTGTTTCCGGGTTTTATGAACTCAATCCCTCCGCTGAAGTAGATGAAGAAAGGGAGGAGGGCT